TCTAGTCAAATTGAATTTTAAAAAGGACCTACACGAGCCTGTGAAGTAGCAAAAAATATTTCACCGAAGGACCTCCAAGCCCACATTCGAAATGATTTGTTGAAAAAAAAAATTCCTTCTTCAACATTGAGTATGATGTTTGAGAAGATACTCTTCAAGAATCTTTAACAGATATAAGGCTGAAAATCTTCCTATTCATCAAAATATCAACCACAACAGGGGGAGCTTTCCATCTTGATTATCATCCATATTGTGGACATGACTCTTGTTCATTATGAAATGTGTATGTTACTGCTTCAAACTAATGAAGCATAGACCAGTAAAACCAATTAATTGTCCTGGGTCTTTTACACAAATTTCAGCCAGTAAAATTTTCTTACATTTTCTTTTTCATTTTAGAAATCTCAAAATCAAGTTTAATATTTATGTTCATTCGAAAATAGCAACTGTAACATGTGAAAGCATATATATACCACATATCTAAGCACCACAAAATTCAACATTTAGCAGAATGTAAAGCTACAAAGAGATACCTGGAGCAACATTTATTATCTGATAAGTAATACCATCTGGCACAAGATGCCGGCTCAAATTCTTCCTGCTGATTCTGCCTAGAAAAAATATTACCGGGAAAAATTTTAAAACCTTTAACTGCCAACTCATAATCATGTGAAATTCAAGAACTTCAGTTGGTAAAATCAATAACCAACCATGTCTAACTTCCAAGTCCTAGCCACTATGTTGCGTTAAAGAAAGGATATATAACTGTGTTGCGTTAAAGAAAGGATATATAAGGAATTACTCTTGTCTTAATTAATGCATATTCAACGATGTCTCAATCACCAAGATCAATACATATAAGAACAATTTTAATGTATTGTACCAGAAATTTATCAATCGTGTTAAAATGGAATGTAAACTGCAATCTATTCAATCTTTAAGGAGTAACGTACACAACTAACTCAATTAGAATTCGTTCTTCATGAGATTTGGTGCGAGCTGCTCGAAGGAATCCTCTGTATAAAGCAAGCACTTGCTTCTGCATTCCTAAAAGCTTTGGCCCACCAGATGCTCCCATTGCATCTTCTTGCTATGTTTTTTTTTTTAAGCTTTGCTTTACTTCAATTGCTCCAATTACTAAGAAACAATATTACCAGTTCTGCACGAAGATCAGAAAGAAACCTGATATTACTATTAATAGTACAGCCAGGATATGAAAAACAATTAAACCGTGTAAGAAATAGGAAAATGGAGAAGAAAAAACTTGGACTCACAGTTCCTTAATAAAAACAAACGAAAAGAGACCGAGAGATCGGATGGTATAAGATAGCGGTAGAAGAGATATAATTTGTATTGTAGATATTTTGGGAAGAGAAGAGGTCGGTTACTGTAGTTCAAAATATCAGACCTTTTGCGGCTCGGCTTGAAAACGGCTCGGCTCGAAAAAGGCGGCTTGCTTGGCTGTTCAGCTTGTGAACATCCCATGTACATGAGGA